CAAAGTGAGTAAGTTTCACCCCCAATGTTTGCACTGAGGCGTATGCACTCTTGGAATAATGCTTTGGACAAAAACACATCAGGCTTGGGAGACGGAGGGTGTAGCTCAGTGGTAGAGTGTGTGCTTAGCATGCAGGAGGCCCTGGGTTCACTCCCCAGTACTTCTATTTAAATGAATGAACGAATGAATATTTAAAAAGCGAATTACCACCCCTCCCCTCAAAAAAAGAAAAAAAATACATTAGGCTTTCTAGGATGCGAGTGTCCTAAAAGGCTTTAAAAGCTGAGTTGCCATTAAACAGCCAAACAGACAAAACCTCCAAGGACATGAGCAGCAGTGACGCAGTCTCCGAGGAGATCTGGCTGGAAGCACCCAAACCCTGCACCTGGTCAGCCACGCAGACGTGGTCAGGAAAAGCACAGTCGAGTGTTTACAAGGGGTCCTCCCTAGAACTGATCATTTCCCTGTGATGAATAGCATCTCCTGCCCATCCTTGCAGGCACGCCTCCCACTGGAGGATTTCTAGGAGAGCAGGAAGTAAGGGGAACAGAAGAGTAGGTTCCGGAGAGACCAGCAGGTTCGGTAAGTGGCTGAATGCCTGTGACTCAGCCCACTGATGTCCTTGAGCACCAGTTCTCCGGTCCCTGAAACAGGGCAGCCTCCCTGGAGCCTCGAAGGCTTCCTGCGGTTCTCAGATCAGTGGGCCACGGCTGTGCACAGCCTGGCCCTGCCCACCTCCAACCCAGGGGTTGTGGGCTTCTGAGAGTCCCTCCACACCTGAACTCTTCCCAGCCCGGGGACTGGCCTGTTCCACCGACCCATTCCTCTCTGGTGGGAGGCCCTTCCCTTCCGTGAGTTCCGCGAGGACAGGGGTCACGTGTCTCATTCATCTTTGCAGCCCCCATGCCCAGCACAGTGGCCAGCACGTAGCTGAACACGCAATACAATATTTAGGGGACGCATGAGCAATGGATTAAATAAGGTACTACACAAAGCCAGTGGCCACATCGGGGAGTAAATGAAAAGTCTCTTTCTGAGTTAGTATTAATTACTTCCACTGCCGCTGGGGGCGAAGGTTGTCTCGTCATTTGTAGAAGATGCAATCAGAGAGTTTAAGGGCACTGGTCCTTTGGCTCGGTGCTCATTCACTCTTCCCTGTTTCCCGCCCAAGTCACTTGTCGTTGTTCCTCTGACACAAATGTTTCCTCCCAGCAGGCCACAGCACAGGGCCAAGGTCTCAACTCTGCCTCAGGAAATGGCACTGGACCTGCCGGAAGCATCCTTACTCTGGGGGCTGGCGGGGACGGCTGATGGCACCCAGAGAAGACCCCTGCTGTCTGGTCACTGGGCAGAGCTGGTCTGTGCTGGCGCCAGAAAACACACACTGACATGTGGCCCTGCCCCTCTTGGCACTCAACTCTCATCTTCTTGAGACGTCTGTCCTGGCCAGGCCAGACCTGAAACTACAAGGCTATGAAACTATCTCCATTTTAGCCATTAAACCCAATGTGAGAAAGATGTAACTGGTCGGGTAGGACGGAGTGGATGACTCGTTTCTTCATTCCATTTATGTCTGCTGGACGATTACCAGAGGATGAGGGTTATCTGAAACACCTCGTCTTCCAATGGGAGCACAGATTCTAGGGGAAGGCATTAGCAGAGGTCAGACTAGCCCTAACACAGTGCCATTAACTGGATATTTACGAGACTAGCCTGGGCCGCAGACAGTAGGGGTGACAGGCTGTACTTGGTAAGTGTGGATCACCTAGTCTTAGGCGGGAGTGATGGAGAAGTTAAAGCATTCCGAGACAGGTAAACATTTCACAACATCCTTCCCAAGGGCATGGAGTTATTTTCTGAATGATCATTTTAGTTATGATATTAAAAAAGTCTTGTGATGTACCTTTGGACAATAAGTTTTAATAAGTTAGGCAAAAATCAAATGTTATGTTTTGATATGACCACGAGCTTTTGTAAATAAAGATGTGTTTTATATGGTATTTTTAAAGCAGTCTGAATTCTTAAGTAAATACATAAACATAAGAACCATACACAAACTTAAGATAGATATCTGCTTTTTTCTCTGTTTATTCTGTATCCATCCCTCTGTGTCTCTGTGTATCTATCAACCTATGGACACGTGATGTTCTCTCCACAGGGAATGTAACTTTCTGAAAACCAGAAGTATTCATCTACCACACAGAAACTTCCTTTAATAAAGAGGGTGGTTGGAATTCTGATTGCTCAGTAAACAGCTCCTTCAGTTATTCACTCAAGAAATATTTGTTGGGTTGTGAAGGCGACAGGGCAGAGATGTCACGGGGTGGGGAGCGTGGTGGTGAACACAGCCCTCAGCCTTCTGGCATTTGTGGTCTAGTGGAGGGAAACATTTAGCAAACTACCAGGATGAGCAGGCAAACACGGGCATTTCAAATAGTGGTGGATGCCAGTATCAGCCTCCTGGCGAACAGCATTTGAGCTGGGACACGTACGTGAAGGAGATGGCTACGGTCCTTTTTTTAGAAAACTGAACGCATGCCTTTACACACTGAAAGACATCTTTAGACACTGAACTGACACCATTACGATCTGCACTGCTAACGCTAGAAGCAGATGAGGATTCGAGAACACGCAAGTTTGATAGTCAAATGTGTTCGGGGCAAATCAAAAAGTGAGGGATTGGAGCGCTGGCACCGATGCCCACCAGGCACGTGACCTTCACCGGCTTCCTCTTGTAAAGACTATGCTGATGGATCAAACAAGAATAACATGATGTTTTCCAAAACTGCTGTGAGACGGGATTGGTGGGCACACTCACATCTGCCGTGTCCCTTGGTACAAAGCAGAGGTGAGATGCGTCGCAACTCTACATTCACTCTTGTATCTTTCTTTCTTGGGACAGTCAGCTACCCTTTGAAGATTTCTTCATGCTTCTTCCTTTCCCGTCATCCACTGGTCCCACCCCTTACTGATGATTCCTCATGTCTGTCTTTACATTTTACAAAGTGAAACTTGGAACAGGGCAGGTACTAACGTTTCTCCAGCTAAAGGACTGGCAGGTGGTGCCCATCCTAATTATTCTAATCACTGTGTTATTCTGGCAAGCGGATCTCATCTTGGGTTATCTGTATTACTTTATACGCACCAAACGCCGCGTCTTATCCTAACACATAGTGAATGGATGTTGAAGAATGAGCGACCGGTCAGGCTGCAAAAGAGAGGATGGGCTGGTGGGGAGCCGAAGTCAAGGGAGACCTGAGCGCGCACTGGCCCTGGTCACGTGACTGCAAATGGGTCTCCTAGGATCTGAGTGGTCTGAAGAATCTCTGCTTCTAGCTTGAATGAGAATAACCAGGTCTGTCGTAGCTCCTTGGACGCAGGGGACAATGATTGCTACAAGACAGGATACTGGCAGTCTCTCAAGGATTACCTGGGAGGTACTAGATTACCTGGGAAAGGGGAGGAGACCAAGAAACCAGCAAAGATGCTGGAATAGGACTAAAGACAGGGCACTGTGACCATCTGGGCACCATTTTCTTCTAAGTCCTTTTCCTTCTATCTAAGCCCTTTAGAGGCCGTAGAAAGTCAAGACAGGAGCACAGAAAGCGAGAAGGAAGAAAAACGAAGGGGAAGCAAGAGACATCAATGCTCAGGAAGTGGGTCCATGTGAATATATTTGTGTGAATTTCACCATGTGCCTCATTTCTACCACTCTGACGCTCTGACTTCTGGTCAACCCACAGAATAATCACGTGATAAATAATCACATGATTTCAGCAAATTGAGCTAGGTCAATGGCAGTCTATAACTTCAGGAGCATTTGCCAGGAGTGCAGAACAGCCAGGCCGTGGTTTGGAGACGGGCACACTTCCGCAGAGCCAGGCCAGGGTGATCACTGGGGCAGCAGGGCCAGGCCCCAGTAGCCCATCTTCTGGTGGGACCATAAGGGGAAGTTCTCCTGAGGCTTTGCCCACAGGTAGGGGTCTCCATCCTGGCGCTGCCGACGCACACCAGCTTTAACAAAAGACACCCTTTCCTCCACAGTGGGTGTCTTGTCTGTAGTTTACAAACGTTAAGACTGAATTTCAGAGCCGACCGGCAAGTGAGGTTGGCACCACTGGTGGCAAAGCTGGAATGTGACTACAGTCATGACGGATTCCCGAACCCACCTTCAGGGCTGCAACGGCTAATTCTGAAACCACCCCAGGACCCCTCTGTAGGCACCGACTGCTACCGGGGAAGCAGAGTTATTTGCTCTGCTCCGTGTTTCCACACCTTCTTGACCATATTAAAAGAACGGACGCAGCAGAAGATGACATCATCTCAAAATGGGGATTTATAATATTTAAACGCTAACTTGCCTGCCATGGAGCACTGCTGATCACCGAACAAGCAACGAATCAAAACTGTAATGGAAACACTGCCGAAAAAATAACGGTACTCATCGTTTCTAGTAAATATGGTATGTGACCATTGCAAATATTTTTTTTTCCTGGAATGTTAGGGTTTCCTGAATATCCATCACGGAAGACCCACCAACTCCTTCAGATGAAAACCCCTGCTGTTTCCTTTTCTTTCTTCCTCCCAGTGCACCTTTCTCCAGTGAGACAGGACATACGCCCGGTCTTTTGATTTTGGCCTCTGTCCTTGCAAGTGTCGCGTGACCAGGTATGAAGTTGGTTTTTCTTCTCTAGAGGAAAACTCTAGAGCTTACTCTAACCAGTAAGAGGAGAAAAAGGTTGCTACACTCACTGTCTCTAAGAATTGGATTTCATCATTCCTAAGCAACGACATTTCTCTGTACGGACCACCAACTGATGTCTGCAAAATAATTATAATCAGCTTTGGACCCATCCTGGTGACACCTGACCTGCGTTCCAGGTCAGGCCCGGTGTCCTGATGTATCCTCCCTCTTAGGTAGTCAGGATGGCAAACGCAGGTGCAGACAAATGCTGACGTTTCATTAAAAACACATATAATGGATTCGGGAAAATACATACCTGATTGCACTTGCAGATAAGTGACCATAAGAGCCACTCGCTGAAGAGCTGCTGCGGGAATTATTGAGAATCGTGACCAAGGAGTTGGGAGATGTCCTGATCATGGTCTGAAGGTCAAAGCTATGATCGGACAGCGGTGATATGGACAGTGTACGTTTCCGGCTCGGCCTGGCTGACAGCCTGGGGCTGGGGAACCTGGTGCCTGTTACAGAAACAAACCAGAACCCGATTACCGGCGGCGGTACTGGGTACCTGTTGTCTGTTACGACTACCCGGCGTGGAAGAAGTGAAGGATAAGCCAGCCACTTGTGGTGACAAGGACCTCGCCTCCCACTTGTGATCTACTGGCTACAATTGAGGAAATTAGGGAGAAATATTTATCTTCCAGAGGCTTACCTCGGGGGAGCTCTGTTTATTAATGTGCAGGCAAAATGATAAATTGCTAAACAAAAGGGAAAGACTTTTATGTGTTATCCCTCTCATTTCCAGTGATTTATGAATCTGACGGCTGCTTGGATATTCTCATCATTAATTCACCACAAGCGACAAAGACAGTGGTTCCCACAGTTACGCCGCACACCACCCTCCCTGCCCCAACGTGCACTGTTCTAAGGCAATGAGCCGAAGGGAAAACTGAATTAAAGTATCCTAAGATAAAAAACGCAGCTTAGTTATGCTCTCATTTCCCCATGATTTCTGTAGTTATCTGATCCTCAGTATGCTTACAGCTTTATTGAAAAAACTGATAAATACATTACCCTAAATTAATGGTTCTCGATGGGGGGGGGGATTTGCCCCCAGGGGACATGTGACAACATCTGGAGACATTTTGGTTATCACAACACATGGGGTGCTACTCACATCTCATGGGTAGAGGCCAGGGAAGCTGTGGTACACCCTGGGATGTTCAGGGCAGCCCTCCACTGTGAAGAAACATCTGGACCCAGTAGCGCCGAGATGGGGGATCCCTGTCCTAAATTCTCCATAATCTAACAGAATCAGTTCCAAGAAACATTTACAATCTTGAGATGTGGTTTGTTGACAGATTTCCCAAGATGGGGGAGAAAAACCCCTGCCAGCATTGTCATGAGACTGGATGAGTTGGATTTAATTCTCTGGACTTATTAGATCAATCAATTAATTAATAAACTTTCCGCACTTAAGAGTTTTTAGACTTCAGGAAGATTCCACCCATGAAGTTCTATTCTGAAGGGTACTAACTCACACTTAAACATCTGCCAACTTACAGGGGGAGGGTGTAGCTCAAGTGGTAGAGTGCCTGCTTAGCATGCAGGAGGTCCTGGGTTCAATTCCCAGTACCTCCTCCGAAAATAAATAAATAAATAAACCTAATTATCTCCCCACCCAAAGTTAAATAAATAAAATTAATTAAAAACAAACAAAACACTTGCCAACTTAATACAATGCATGGCCATTTGCCTTCAATTTGGTAGATGCCAGAGATTTGAATTTGAGGGTGTAAGTACCCAAAGGCCAACTCCTGCCTTTTCTAAGGTCACGTTTACATTATAGTCGTCCAACTGAAGTTTAATGACAGAATGAAAGCATAATTCCACTAGGGAAGAGGCAAATCGAATATGATTACCTTTAAGAAATAATGGAGAGTCTGTATTTCAAAGGACTGGTATACCTGCCCACAGGGACATGACAATTTTGTGGAACCCAGAAAACTGGAGGAGGAGGCAAGAAAAATGACCTAGGCACTTGGTCTCTACTGGAAATATTTTCTTCATCAGAGACGGACCTTGACAAAAGCTAACAATCCAACATGCTTTGAGATCATTTAATGAAACACAATAGGTGGACAGGAAAGACCCTATAGATAATATTACAGAAATAAATACGTATATTTTTATAGTTAATAAAAAAGTACATCACAAACTGGAACTTAGTAACTTAGTACCATCCATGTAGAAAATTGGAAAACCAACGTGAATGACGAATGGGAGACCTACCCAAATCTTTCAAGCACATTGAAAACGGAATTTCTTCATTTAGAATAGACTCATTACCCCCCGATTTAGGGCACGTTAGTACAAAAATAGTAATCCCACATCTTGCACTGTTCAAATCAGCACCTTCCTGTTATTGTAGGGTCTGCCTTACACAAAAATGTCTCACTTTCACTTCATCATAAAAGCTTTTCAGTCAAGAAATGCATTCCACTTCCAAAAGATTCCAAGCACAAACCAGAATTACGGTCGACTTCCATTTAATCCCGGACAATAACCCTTTCCAATGGGACTCAGTGATCCCTGGCAGAGTTAGAAGTAACAGGACATTCCAGAGAGCTGATTCCCTGAGTTTTTAAATCACCAATGAGATAAGGAGGCCATCTGATGCTATAAAACACCAGAGGCCTATATCCACGTCACATCATCCAAAGACGGAGCCCAGGGCCTGGCTCCATCCTTTCCATGGAAACCTTCAAGTTCCTCAGGGCCTAGCTGGTTCAACTCCTCTCTGTTTTTCCCTCCAAGATGGGCACTTATTTAAGTCACTTTCTTTAAAAAAATTTTTTTTTAACGAGGTACTGGGGATTAAACGTAGGACTCATGCACACGAAGCTACACCCTCCTCCTTTTGAGTCAGTTTCCACCAGTGTGAGCAGTGCAGTTTTCAGGCATCTCTAGGCTGTTCCTCATAGGGATTACCTGCTCTCCTGTGTTTTAAGGCCACTCGAATTCCAGAAGGGAGAATCAGAGCCATAAAACAGACCTGTTCACTCTAATGTGCAACATAAACACTCTACCCCAAAGCTGGCTGAGCCCAGACAGGCCCACTGAGGGCACATTTAAAAGCCAGGTGCCCATCTGACCCCTTTTATTGCAGTTTCTGCCAGCAGAGAGCCTAAAGATCTGTAGCAATGGAGTCGAGTAACCAGTTCCATCTCGGTCTGGCTCTGCTGTTGCTCTTCCAGAGCCAACGTTGGGATGGAAAATTGTTTCACTCTCCGTTGAAAAGGTCTCTGATGATTTTAAAAATTGAAAGCATGAGAACATTCGTCTTCTGTTCTGTTTAGCTAAATGAGATTTCAGCTATTGTAGAGGGCAGGGATATAGAACTTGGAGCACTTTCCAACCCTTTAATATGCTCTACTCAACCCCCTAAGAACCAAGCACGGAAAGAGAAAGCCAGCAGCCTTTTGGGCAGTGATTTGGGACCCTCTGTTGAAGGGAAGGGCTAAACCACAGGTGAGGATTTCAAGACAGCTGACAGACGTGGTCTAGTTCTTCACTGACCATCCTTCATCCATAAGCCTGAGCATTCTCATTGCTGCAACACAGATCTCTCTGATCTGGCTCTCTGTTAATTGTTTTGTTTCCTTTAGTCTAATGAAAAACTCTGACAAAGAAAAAGGAGGTTTCTTTTTATGTGATGAATGATAGGACATCTAAATTCCTACTTAATGACAATCAATTTACCATATACTCTGGCAAATTAAAATTCCTTTAATTAGTTTTTACAAAGTAAAGGGGTAGCTTCATCCTTTATTTAGATAAAAACCGCCATTGCCTGACTAAACACATTCTCATCAAACAGCGAAGGAAATACAGGCTGACCTTCCAGGGATTCGCTCTTACTTTAATTCTTTATTTGCAGACTTTTTAAATAACTGATTTGCATAATAACCCTCAACTATTTTTTTTTCCCAACAGTCCCTAATTGAAATGTGGTTGTGATGAATCTGAAATGGAAGCTCTCTCTTCTACAAAGCAGAGCCACCGAATCCCTGCAGAAGACCGAACGTGTTTCTTTTACTTTGTGTGCGGTCATGAACTCCCCAACGGAAACCCACATAAGGTCTGTTCCTATGCAACACGGCTAAGCGAGCTCGTGACGGGAAGGGAACTAAGGCTGTGTGAACCAATCTCCTCCTCTCTATTCCAAACCTGAGGACTCAGTGACCAACCACTGCTAGGGAGTGGACCGGGGTACACCCACTGTCACAGAAGAACCCAAACAAACTGTAGATGGAAGAGCACAAGGTAATCACTGTTACTAGGACAAACAAACAAGTAAAAACCCCAGCACGTGTCCGAGTGTTGTAGCATTCAAAGGGTTGTGATTTTCGTTACATGTGCCTTGGATGTGGTACCTGGCAAATGGATGTGCACTTAAAAAATCTGAATAAATAAGGAGTCCTGGGTGTTCTAAGAAATGATCATCAGAGGCTCCCATCTGTATGTCTGGAAGTGACACGAAGGACTCATCATAAGCCTTGAGGGACCCAAAAGAAAGTGACATAAAGCACATCCAAAGGTCCCATTTTCTTCCACTGCTATGTACTCAGAGTAGCCCTTTCTGATTTGGAAGTGGTTTTTATTTTTCCTATAGAAAAGGTCTCAGTGAGACAGAATTTTCTAATGTAAAGAAAACCTATGAGGAAAAAGAAGTAAAAAATAAATTAACGAAAAATGTCAAACTAAGTATAGCTCTTTTTCAAAAAAAATTAATTTTTCAAGCATAAAATCTATGAGACTAAAGAATGACTGGGCGAAGTACATTCATACAATCAAACACGTTCCCTTATTTCGTTACCAAGATAATCAGCACCGGAGAGTTTTTTGTGTACCAGCCAAATTACAATCACCTGCATCTTCCAGTTCATGGATATGAACTGAGCTAAGCAGGGAGGCTCAGGATGGCCAAATCGGCTGAATCCTTCCAGAAAACCAAGGGAAACAGATCCCCAAATATTGGTGGTTCCTCCTCTTCCTCTGGTTTCAAAAGTTAGGTAATCAACTAATCTTTGTATCTTCCTCTCCATTTCATGAGTTGGCTCCGCTCCACCCAGCCCAGGACTACAGAGAATAGCCCCGCCACTTACTATCCATGGCATGAAGGTACTCCATGTGGATGGCCCCTGCGCCGGCGGTGGCAGCCGAGGGGATGATGTCTGCATAGGGGCTGCGCTGGCCGGCTAACAGAGCCATCTGATGATAGTATTCCGCTGGGCTGACTCCGGGGTGGGGGGCTGGATGGGAGAGGAGACCAGAAAAGTATGGTTACCAGTTAGTCAACAGGAAGCTTTTCTGGAGCCAACCCAAAGTCTGTTTGCCATGCAGCCCACATGTTTCTTTCTAGTAAAACTTCTTTAATTCAAGCTGTGTTTTTACCAAAGTCTCCTACGTATCATTTATTCAAAAACAAAATTGGGGGGAGGGTACAGCTCAGTGGTAGAGTGTGTGCTTGGTATGCAGGGGGTCTTGGGTTCAATACCCAGTCCCTCCATTAAATAAAATAAATAAATAAACCTAATTACAACCTCCCCAAAGAAAACTAAAGAAAGTGAATAGAAAAACTGCAAAAATACATTACAAAATTTTTGAGGTTAGTTTTGAGAAATTACCAAGAATTCAAAATGATTAAAACGTGTATATGTACATGTATATATACACTCATTCCCATGTTTGCAACCCAAGATAAAAGTTTCTTATATCAAAGCACTGTATGTTCCCATTTGTTATAGTAGTAGACCACTCAGATAACTATGAGGTCCTTCAGGACATACTTAAAATACTTCCCTAAGCTTTCCGACAGGAGTGTTGGAGTTAGCTCTCACTAACCTGGAGGACTCAGGGCTCGTGAGTAGAAATGGCAGCACAAACCCAGCTTTAATAACCACACGATGGGGTGATAAGCTGCAAGTCTGTGTTCCATAATTTTAAAACTCTTTCTTGTTCTTTTTTTTTTTTTTCACTACAAAGTCAAAAAGACATATACCTATCAATCTGGAGCCATTTACTGGCAAGAGACAGCTCTGTAGGAGTGGGGTAATGATCAGTTTCCACATGCCAATCTATGTGCGGGAGCTGCAGGACACTGGAGCAGTTCTCCAATTTATGTGCGGGAGCTGCAGAACACTGGAGCAGTTCTGGGGTGGTCTCTAGGTGCACCAAGATCTGGACGCAAATCCCAGCTCCACCCCTTACAGCTTCCGGGGGTTGCGGGGAACAATGAAGGCAATGGTGCATGGAAGGTGTGTAGCACATGGCGTTCGATCAGTAAGTTTTATCATTATGATGGAGAAACACTGACATTCTAGCGATAAGTCTGTGTATGCTTTACATTCATGTCCATATACATTTTTTTTAATTGAAGTGTAGTAGATTTACAGAGTTGTGTTAAGTTTCAGATGTACAGCAAAGTGATTCAGTTGTTCCTTTTTCAGATTCTTTTCCATTATAGGTCATTGCAAGATTCTAAACATAGCTCCCTGTGCTATACGGTAGGTATAACTTGTTTAACTATTTTATATATAGTAATGTGTATCTGTTAATCCCAAACTCCTAATGTATCCCTCCCCGACTTTCCCCATTGGTAACCATATATTTGTCTTCTATGTCTGTGAGTCCATTTTTGTTTTGTAGACAGGTTCATCCATTCATTTTTTTTAAGATTTCACATATAAGTGATATCATATGATATCTGTCTTTGACTGACTTAAGTGTACTTAGTATGATCATCTCTAGGTCCATCCATGTTGCTGCAAATGGCATTATTTCATTCTTTTTTGTGTGTGCCCATATACTTTTTATACATCGTAGAAAATATGTACAAAAATCATAGACCGCAAGAGACAAATATTAGTGCATTGACTTTGATTGGATATTAATTGGAGGCAGGAAGAGGAAGGCAGAACAACTAATCAAAGAATGTTTTATTCAAACTTGGCATCAATTACTATGGAAAGCAGATGACAAGATGCTTTAACTGGAAGTACCACCTTCCAGTGGCCCAAGGAGATTTCCACAAACCAGGCATAATTCCAAGCCCATTGCTGGCTGACCTCTCTATCCCTCTCTCCCTGTTCTTATTAGTCACTTCCACGAACTCCCAAGTATTCACAAACGTGACTCCATTTTTCCCACTAAAAAACCAGATTCAAAGCAGAACTCACTCCGATCTGACTCTTCTACAGCTTTATTTTTAAAGTGTGCATCTTCCCCAAGTGGTACAACTTGTTCCTTAGCTGCCTTACAAGTATCTTCAGTGCACTGAATCAGAGGGGAAAACGAGCCAGTAGCTATTGCTGGAGCACAGATACTCCCAGAAGTGCAACCGAATGGATATTTACTGAGAAAACTCATGCAGCTTCCAGCACCCCACCGTGCACAACCAGCCTTGGGAAGTGACTGCGCGGTGAGTGTGGACCCTGTAGGGTCGAGCTGCTCGATGAGATGGAGCACGTGGTGTGTCTCTGTGCTTTGATACAGGCACCAGCAATTTGTGGTTTGCTGCAGAGAACTCATCCTCCTCTACTTGTCATCAATACAACTTATGCCATTCTGGACCTTAATTCCCCTAACAGCGACTGTGGGCAAGTGAGTTTGGATATGCGTGCGTGAGATGGGAGATGCTCTTCCTGAACCAAAGGAACATATTGTAATTGGATGGCTGTGAAATGTACAAGCCCAATTAATTGTCATTGACAAGTAAGTAATTGGGAGGCTAAGAGAACCAATAAGAATTTGGTCCTTGAGAGTTTAAAATGAGCATCTAGTATAAGAGAATTATAGTCAAAGTTTGTTTTGTTCCCACCACATCTGTCTTCCAGAGTTCATTTGGCATTCTCAAGGTCAGAGGGCACATACAACAGGTGTGGGTCATCATGTTCTCTGAGCACTTCCTCCTCTGAGTGTGGTCCCTGGACCAGCAACACTGACATCACCTGCACTTCTAAGAAGTGCAGCGTCGCAGGTCCCACCCAGACCCACCCTACACGCAGTTACAATTTATCACCACCCCCAGGGGATCCGTGTGCACGCTGGAGTTTGAGAAGCCCTGCACCCACAGACACCTCTGTATACAGGTGCCTCTCAGACTTGCAGAACAGGAAAGTGTTTATCAGAAGGTGAGCAAAATGGGCTGAGGACACATGCATGTTGTGGGAGTGGCTACAGGGCTTGTCTAAACACACGCAGAGCCACAGAAGAGAGCAGTTGTAGTAAGAGCAAGGGTTTGGGCGTCAGTGCATTCTGGGTTTGAGTTCCAACGAGCCAGGGTGCAAGTCCCATGGCCCCTCGGCCCCTTGGCTAGCCTCACCTGAAAATGGACAGAAGAAGCCCACCCTCACGGAGGCGCCCTGCTGTGGTGAAAGCAGGCAACCCAGCATTTAGCACAGTGCCCGGCACACGGGAACCACACGATAAGCATCAGTTACTCTACACCATGTCCCAGGAGAGGCAGGGGGAGGAGGGGGTGTGACAGGTGGAAGCAGAAGGGACTGGTCGGAGACTCACCGTCAGTGGGGCTCAGCCCCCGGGCTGCTGAGATCATGGACAGGGACGGGCTGCTGTGCAGAGACCGGATGTAGTCCATGTAGGGGTTGATGTAGGGATGCGGAGGGCTGAAGGGGGACTCGGAGGCGGCCGCGGGGTTCCGATGCGGGGAGATTCTGATGAAGGGCAGGTCTGAATACGTGGGGCTACTAGATAAGGCAGAAGGCCTGAGTCAAAAAAAAACAAAAAACAAACCAGAAACAAGAGGTAGGCGTCAGACCAAGAGCTCCAGAGGCAGAGGCTGTCTGTGAAAGAAAATAAGATTTCAAGGTGTCTTGGGGGGAAAAGTATCAGGCATATACACTTCCAGCATTCTGATCTTAAAATCACGGTGACATAATGATGCAGGTAGGATGTGACAATGTGATTATTTGGGTGAAGGAAATTGACCTTTGAGAAATTTCCTGGCACTCAGAATATAGGAAAGTTAAGTCTTTGGTTTTCCTTGTGAGAAGAATTCCAAACAGGCACCTGAGCGTCACAAAGTAGTTGTGATTATATTTTCCATTTGACCTGAATGTTAATTTCACCGTGGAACTTACCTCTCCCCATCTTGGTACGGCATTTAAAAAAAAAAATAAAGGAAGGAAGGAGGGATGGAAGGAAGGAAGGAGGGATAGAAGGAAGGAAGGAAGGAAATTTGTCTGTTCTGGAAATCCGAGCATGCCCATGGCAGAACTGCCCACAAATGAGAAGAGAGACTTATTGTGAAGGTCTGTGAGAAACATGAAATTAGACACTGTGTACATCCGTGGTCCAGCTTTACTGCCCTGGGTCTTGTGGGGGTGAGTAAACCCAGCTTCCCAGATCTGGGTTTCCCAGTTTTGAAGGCAGCCCCTCCTCTCTGGAGGCAGCCCCGGGGGGCAGCTCTCTCCAGTACTCATTCTGCATGTGGCTGTGTCCTGATTAGCCCTGTTGAGTGAACCATCAGTAATGAGGTGCTCCCGGGGTTAGAAAGTTGGAAAAGATTGGGGTTTGGATGCAGCCCTTAGTTCTAATGAGCCTAAGGTAGAATGTAAGTTCTTGGCTGACAGGAAGGAATCCTAAGGCACACCTGGCAGCCACCATCCCTCATCCCCCGCTGGGGATTCCCTCTCCGGAGCCTCCCCTCCTCCCCCAAGCCCCGGGGAGCCCAGCCATTTCTAGAATGGTTCCAGTCTCTGGAACCCCACCCCCACCCCCGGCCGCCCTATTCCTTCTCTAATAGAAAGCGTTTTGTGTGGATAATCCAGTGAACTGGCTCCGACAGGCTAAACACTTTTCTCATTCACAGAGAATACGGCCATAAAAAGGCGAGGGGTCGTAGGAAGGATGTACTGAGAACAGCAAACTCCTCTCGTGGCTCTGGCTTTAGCAGTGAAAAGGAAGGGAGGAGAAACATCTTCTCGCCCCGCCTCCCCAGCTGAGCAGCACCGCCGGCCTCTGGCCCCCTGGCTGTCAGAACAGGATCTTGGGAGAAGCCAGCTCCTCCAAGAGCACAGCGCAGACAGTGAAACAGATGAAACCAAAGATCAGATTGTGAATTTTCTCTCAGCAGCAAATAAGAGAGATTAAAAGATCTCTTTTCTTAGGGGTACTGGATTTTCTTTCTTGCTCTTTCTTACTTTTTTTTTTAATTTGAACACACAAAAAAGGAGGTTTTCTATTTGTTTTTCAGATGCCACTTTTAGTGAAATAAAACAAAAATCCAGCAGTTTCTAAATTTACATGTGGGCAGAGGGAGAAGTCACCACCTGAAAAAAGCTATTTCTTTTCAAAACAACTTGAGGCTTTCCATACCCACTCAGAAATTAGTAAAAATTACTGGTATTTAAATAGAACTTGGCACAACTTATTAGTCTAACCTATTTTAGCTCATGACTACAAGTAAGTTCGTTCTGTGTCGCTGGTTAAATCTTCAGCTTAAAAGCCTGCTGTTACTGTAAAGCACATGGGATGCTCAAATGCATTCATTCATTTTCTACAGAAAAGGAAAAGTAATCCTTCTCCTCGGACTCAAAAGCAGTTATTACAAAATACAAACTTCCTTGCAGATTCATGAGAGACAGGTGCAGCAGAAATGCAGAAAAGGAGGTATTTCAAGAAACCCAGGAGACGCTATCTCCCAGACAGGCTTTCCTTATGATCCCCGAGAAACTCAGTCCGAACATTATGAACTAAAACCAGTGAAGGCAATGGCATTGCTTACCGGTTTTCTCCATTTTAGACAAAAACTGGAACCTGTCATTTTTTTTCTCAAATTCCAGAATTGAGAATAGTACCAAGAATCTTCCTAGAGGCCTAGATTGCATTGAAGAATCAGGGATGGGGAGGAGACTCAGCCCCCAGAACGACCTGCAGGTGACAGGTGTCAGGCCGGGGCGGTCACCAGTCCAAAGGGGCAAGGAAGCCAGGACACGGCTGACGCTATTCTCTTCTCTCAAATCTGTGGACGTCTGACGTCTGCACCCTCAGCTTCACTTTCATCTGACCTGTTCCCACAGGAGGACTGGAGATACTCCATGAGTAAGGAGTCAGGACCTGGCTGGAACGCCCAGGCTCCATCTTCCCTCACACACCAGAAATGGGCAACAGCAGAGAAGAGGGGCAGTGCCCCCAAGGTGTGGAGACGAAGTCAGGAAACTTCACTCACTCTGGTGCACATCATGCTCATGCACGTCCCTCCCTCCCAGAGGCGACGCTGAGAAGATCGGGGTCGCCTATTCCTCAGAAGGATGGTGGGTCACGCCTTCAGACAGGGAGGCAACTAAGAAAGCTGCGCAGTAACGAATTTCCCTAAAGAAACAAACCATCTAGTAACCAAAGGCCAGTCATCGTCAGGATACAACAGGGAAATGTCTAATGAGGGTCTCTCAGTGAGGGGTCACCAGGGATTCTGGGGACGGTGAGTCAGACCACCAGAGCAGTGGTTTGGTGGGGGTGAGGGGGGCTCAGGGCTGAAGGAAAATGGATGTGGATGGAATGGCAGCTGTGTGACCCCGGCCGAGAGACTCACCCTTCTCCTTGTCCTCAGCAGTCCAATGGAGAGGATCCCCACCTTGCAGGGGTCTCAGCCAGTGAATGTAAGCCTCATGTACTGAGCTAGTATCTAATAAATGCTTAATACAGACATAAATATTTACATCACAAACTACACTAATATATTCCACTCCATATACACACATACACAGCAGAGACAAATATATATTATGTACATATAGACTCATACATACACAGACACAGAACCACACACACATACTAGGGATCACAAATACAGCATGCTATGTGATTCTCAAACACTGAGCTATTGGAACCCTTTTTTTCAGAGCAAATCTTATGTGGAAACATGAACCCTGTCTGTTTTGTTCCCTAACCTGACAGTCTCCCAAAAGCATCCCTTTGGATTTCCCAAGAGGCTCCACTCAGAATCCTAAAACCACACCAGGTGGTTAAGAACACGAACTCAGTTATAAGGAAACTGCAAGAGCTTTGCAGGAAGTGGATTTGAACTCAGGCTCATCCCTGTCTCTGTCACTGAGGCATCTTTCCTGATACACAAAACCAAACGGTAACAGCTCCCTTCCAGGGCTGCTGTCACTGACAGGCACTGGGCACCCAGGAAATGGTGGCACTGATGATGATCTTGGTGGCTGTGAGAACCATCCAACAAGACTTTTTTTGTGCATCAATGTTTTTCAACTCAGCAAACAAATGTCCACATGGCAAGACTTTTGGAGACTGGGATTCCAAATTCACTGCTATTCAATTTCTCACTGAACGTTGACGACTTCTTAATTCTGTTTCCACACCAGGCTCTTGTGAGTTGGGCCGGCATGACATTTCTCGAGTGCTAATTAATGCCTGACAGAAATGAGTTTCTAAGCCATCAAAGCTGAGCAGCCAGCCTTGAATTCCAGGGGTCCCAGCAGCCACCTGACGTGGATGTAAATATATATAAACAAGAGTCTCTCAATAAAGCTGCTTTTAACATTACCTAACAGAGCTCCTTTCAAATTCTTGGCATCTGGGTCATCTGTCAGTTATTTTTTTTAACTATAAAGCAAATCTGAGAGGGAAGGTTAAGCCTCTTACATTTCATAGGCAGATGTGTATTCACTGCTATGGGAAGGCAGCCGCAGAATTTTCCATGTAATGGACATCTATTATTTCACACACTTTCATAAAGTTGACCTGGTAAATATTTGTCAAGCTTGCTCAAAATCTTCATTTGAGGATTACAGTAGCACCAGGAAAAAAAATTATAGGTGTCACTGACTTTCTTGGTTTATATTTTTAGTTAGATACACACAGAGACTGCACTGAAGACTTCTGTTGGCCTCCCCTGACTCTCTCTCTGCTCTGAGGCTGTACGTGGCTCAGTGGTTGGAAGGCAAGCGCAAACCATGAAGGAAAACAACAACTACAACAATAACAAAAAAACATTTCGGAAAGAATACTGAAATTTCGAACTGCTCCAAGAACAGAGATCCCATGCCGGTTGTGTTGCAGCCAAAGAGTACAGAAATATGCCTGTGACCCCTCCTACTGGACCGTACAACTGCTGTCTAGGGAAAAGATGCCCAAGCTGCAGAGGGCTGTCTGGGCTGCCAGAGCATCACAGAGTGGGAGGAACTATGGTTCCATGACCTCTGCATCTCGGCTCAGGCATGGATCTTGGCCCCAGCACGCCCACTCAGGGATAACATCCCCTACCTCGCTTCCACTTGTCTCCCCAAAGCCAGCAAGACCCAGTGAGTGGCTGCCATTTTGTCTCCATACTGCCCAGTGGAGAAATGAAGTTCGGTTTCAGACAAGAAGGAAGGTAGAGATTATTTCCATGGTCTCCCCAAAGACAGTAAAGCAGTATAAAGTTTGTGTCTCTTCGCTTGTGGAAATAATTTAACTTCAGGTTAATTCCTTTATAAGGTCATGAAAATAGATTACAATGACAAGAACAGAGGAGTCTTATTAGAGCATTTTAAACATTATATTATGATAAACTTAAAAACCAAAACGCGGATTGCAGAGAGTAACTGGACGTCTTAGTTAGAATGAAATATCATTATATAATCTAATTTGTTACTACCTTTTCATTTATCTTATTGGGTTACTGAAATGCCAAGATTAAAATCACAGCATTTAATCACTCGCATTACCCATTATGAGAGCATTAAACATGGTTTATATG